TTTTTTTTTTTTTTATTTCCTTCTCAAAATAAGTCTCCTTTCGCCTTTGATTTGATTTACTCCACTGGCATCAGCTGAGTCCCCTCCTTTCTTCCTTTTCCCCTTTTATTTGACACCTTATACGGCCCTTCCTTCCTCTTTCAGTATAACCCTATCAATCTTCTTTTATGGATAGTGTATTGTCAGCAGCGCCTTTTAACATATTCTTTCATCCTTGTGGTCTCTCTTTTTTTTCTATTTATGTGTGTGTTGCAGTAACTGTGAGGAACGAATATATATATATATATTTCATCCAACAGAAGCATCACAAGGAGATACGGGATGCGAATATGCAGACTCAGATGCAGAATGCAAACAGAAATAAAGAGACATCTCATACATGTCTGCATATAATCATTTTCTTCTCTCAGTCTCGTTTTCCTTTCTCTTTTTTTTTTTGTTTTTTCTTTCTCCCTATTCACCATAATGTTCTCTTTCCATTACAAGACTGATTGTATTCGCTCAAATAGGCATCAAATGAGTTCTATTTCTTAGGCACTCCGGAAGCCCACATACACAAGTGAATAGAAGCGGGTAGATACTGGAAAAAAGGAAATGAAGATAAAAAGATCCCACGACAACGAACAAATAAAACAGACGTGGTTCTATCGACCCATTTATTTTGATTTCTCTTTTCCTCTACCACCTCTTCTGTTCATCTCACTTAAAACCTTCTGATGATATTCCTTTCTTTTTTTCTCCACTCTTTATTTTCATCTTCTTCTTACATATTTTTCGTTTTATTCGTCTTCACTTATCTTACTTTTAGTTGTCGGATTTATCTAGTTCTCCAACAAATCACTTCGCTTTTCTTTTTATTTTTCTTTGTTGCTGTTCTTATTTGTTCACTTTTAATCAGACCGTTTTTTTCTTTTTTTTTTTCTTCTCACCGTTTCTTCATACGTTTACTTCTCTTTTTTTTCTACTTTATCACGTATTATCTTTCGTGAGTATAAAAAAAAAAAGGCGTGCACACAAAAAAAAAGGGGGGAAAGGGGAGAGCAGGATGTGCTTGCATGAGATCTACACAGACAAACACACATCTCTTTGACTTCTGACTGCTTACATTTTGCCGTCTGTTTTGTTAGTAGTAGTAATAATAATAATAATAATAATAATAATAATAATAATAATAATAATAATAATAATAATAATAATAATAATAATAATAATAATAACAGGGTGAGTTTAGATAAGAATAAAAGAAAAAAAAAAAACGCCGAGAAAGTAAGTGTGCAGTTGTACGTCGACTATAAAGCCGAGACTCTTTACGTATGCAACAGCTCCGCTCTCATATCACAGTTGCACACACAGAGAGATCAGTCAAGTACTATTTGTTTTTGCCTTTCCTGGAAGATGTTCACTCTGTATTCCTTTTTTTTTTTGGTATTTTTCCCGAGCCCTTCTTTTTTTTTTTTTTTTTGCTTTTTGTGTGTTCTCTTTCTTTTTTGCGTATTACTTATAAATCCATATATATATATATATATATATATAGATCCTTTTTTTTTTTTTATTCTTGACTAGAAATATCTCTTTTTCATTCTGTTTTTTAGCTACTTGCTGGTTTCTTTTCATAGACATGCGCTCTCTGTCACACCTTCCGCAATTGGAGATATACAGATGGGCATCACGTATTATTTCAAACAGTCGGGTATTCTCACTCTTCACTTCATCAACCTCTACATCAGCAGTAGAGAAGCTCCATTGGAAAGACACACACACACACACAAATAGAAACAGAAAGAGAGAGACAACACATTCGGACGTCATGGTGGTGATGGTGGTGGTACGAAGGAGAGAAGAAGAGGTTGAAAGTAACGTGAATGTCGCATCTTTTGTGCAGAATCATGTGAAGCGCAATAGAAAAGATGAGAACATGTCATGAAAGAAACACAAGAAAAGATGCGTTAAGCATACGCAGACACACACGCACACACAAGAGAAAAAAAAAAAAAAAACTCACACGAACTAAAATAGAGGCGGACGCGCGCACGCAAGAAATCCACAACAATACAAAACATCAATATTAGAGAAAGATATTTGTTCATGTACAGACAAAAGTACACACAAAAGTCACCTTATATATATATACTCATTTATGCGGACGCCTCTGCAGGTGCTGCGGTGTACTTTTCGCGGACTTCATCAATCTGGTAACGCTGTCCATTGGGACCCTTCTTTCCCTTGTGTGAAGAAACAATTTTAGTCACTGTCGCCTTCACGTCATCACCAGCCTCCTTAATAGCGTCGTGATCCAGCTGCACGAATGCGAAGGTACGCAAGACTGCCGGGTCTTTCTTATCAGGCTGCGAAAGAACGTTGACAAGTTTAACAGGGGCAGTTGTACCAATAATTTCACGCACTGTCTCCTCTGTCGCGTCATGCGGAAGGCCCTTTACAATAATATCGTAAAATACCACAAACCGACTCAATGTTCGACCATCAGCGTCTTTTTTCTTGTTGTTTCTGTTATTGTTGTTATTATTATTATTAGAAGTATTATTGTTATGATTGGTGTTATTATTTTTGTTGGTGGTGGTATTGTTGTTGCTGTTACTAAATCCTTCCTTATGGTTTCCGCCTTCAGCGCTGGGTTTCCCATTCTTTTTCTCCCCCTCAGCAGATGCGGTCACCGCTGTCGGTTTTTTTCCACTTGTACCATTTCTATGGGCCCCTTTCGTACCGTTCTTTTCAGCTACAGCAGCTGATTCCCTATTTTTCTCCTTCTTTTCCTTTACCGGTTCCTCTGTGGACTGTTCTTTGCCTCCTTTGGCTACTACCTTTAACGGTGCTGCATGTCCCTGTGCACCACCAGTGCGCTTTCCCATCAGGATGGCCTCAGCAAAACTCTTTGGCTTCTTTACCTCCGTATTAGCGGCAGAAGTGGAAGGCATCGTTGTGGTGGTGGTGGCGGTCCCTTCTTCCTCCAATTTTTTAACAGCCACTTTCTCCACAGTAGCATCAGTAGCAGAAGGGTTTGCACAAGAGTCAGGAGATACAGTTACAGAACGTTCAGGTACTGTTGAGTTAACCGCAGCAACCTTCTCAGAAGCAGGTGACTCCCCTTTCTTTGGCGGTTCAACGCTTTTCTTAGCTGGAGACTTCTCTAAGGCCTTCACAGCTGTTGTGGCAGCTGGCTGTTCAATGGGCTCCATCGCATCCTTTTTAGCTTCTTGTGCAAACATGGGTGGTGTTTCCAGTGCCCATCGCTGGAGTGCCTCTTCTTTGATAGTGCGCTCCCGCTTGTCATTCACAATTCCAAAGCTGCCTGGTTGTGTCTCGTGCTCGATGAGTTCCACATCGTGTGTGAAGTTGTACGTGACGTTCAAAGCCGTCGTGATGGACCCTTTAATCGCCAGGTGAATATGGCCGTTAGGGGTCGTCTCTACAGTCAAACTGTGGATCTGTGCGGATCCGTTTGGCTGCACGGGGTAGAGCGCGGCGATGGTGGTCTCAATCTCTGCAGTGCCCTCCGCCTTATGCCCCAAATGATCAAACGTTGCATGTGGAGTATAAAATGCTGACAGCTTCTCTGGCTGCTGCACCATCAGAGTGTAGTACTGACGGGTGAAGCTTGCTGCAACACGTCGTTGTCTCTCACTAGCAACAGTCATTTTATCTTTTTTTTCTTTTTCTGTGTGCTTCGCCATAGAAATTAGGGTAAAATAGAAAAAAATAAAAATAAATAAACAAATAAAATAAAAAATAAAAATAGAGAAAAGAACCACATTACCGCTACTATTGGTTTTTTTTTTTCGTTTTTTTTTTTTATTTCTTTGTTTCCACCACTAACATCACTACCACTATCAGAAAAGGAGTGAGTTCAAACCACTCAAAACATAAAAGTTGCAAGAGGGAAAAAAATGTATTCTGGTTCAATGAATTCAGCCCTACAAGACCTCTTTGGCTGTTGACGAAATTGTGTTAGAACTATTTTCCACTTTTGGCCACAGAAACTTCTTCCGCTCCTCTGCACTCATAGCATGTTTTGCATCAAGAAACTCTTGAAAGTCCATCACCTTCCAAGATGAATGAATACGTTCACACTTATTGCATCTACAAGTCACTAAAATACCAGACATGTTAGCACACTCCTGCTGTTCACGGTGATAACTACGGCAGTGCGCATCCGAATCGAAAAGAATAGGATTGGGAATGGGCTTGTAGCCTTTTGCGTGCCGCTGAATAGAATGGCAGTGACCGCAGCGCAGAAAGTATTTCTGAAAAAAACGACTAGACATTCTTACCAATCACTTAAGAATGGTACCCGACTCGATACTACCAATAGAATTAAAATACTATTTAAAGAGAAACGAAAAAATCAATCAGAATAAATAGAAAAAGAAAAAAAGAAGAATTGTTTAAATTGTAATAAAAGAAAAAATTAAGCAACTAGAAATTCCCCGAAGAGTACTACAACCACAACTACCAGTTAAACTATTGCATAAAGTGAAATTCTGAAGAATAATAAAACAACAAACAAGAAAGATTTGTTATGAAACAAGTTTTTTCCTGCGTGGAATAGGTTTTTGTTGCTGCTGTTGTTGTTGTTTTGTACTCTCTGGCACCTGTAATCCGAGGAACTGACCACTGCGATGCACCTCATCTGCAATGGAAACCATATTTGGCTTCCACGAACATGAAGGACAGTAAGCTGACCAAGAAACAATATCCGGATGTAATGGACATTGTCCTTCTTCCACTTTACCGGTGCGGCTTCGAATAGTTGAACGATATGCCTCACCACAATTTTGACACTTCCATTCTGCTCGAAATTTACTAGTATGGGCTAATGTTGCTAAATTCTCTTTCTTTTCATTATCTACAAGTTGTGGTAATAACTCTGCTGCGGACTCTGTTAATGAAGGACTTGCGTGCTGCTCGCGAAGTACCTCAGAAGGATACCTACCTTTACAAAAGTTACATCCTGCATGAAACTTCGTACGGACAGAAACACTTTTACGGTAGGAAGAACCACAAAAAGAGCATTTCCAGTAGATACGACGGTGATCATTCCAGCGAATATCAGAAAGATTAACACCAAGTTCTTCTTCTGTCTTTTTCACATCAATATCAGCAATAACTGAGCTATATCGATTAGAGAAATTCAATAAGCGATTAGAGTCCCGCGTAACCCAGTTGACCCCTTTCATCGGCAACTGTCTACCAACGCTGTAGTTGAGGTACATAGCGCCATAACGCATATTAGGCCATACACTTGACCAGCGAGACTTTTGTTTGAACTCCGCCGCCAACAGAAACCGTGTTCGGTAGATCATTTTCCCGTTTATGTATGGTCGTAGTTATCGTGTATGTGAAAACCACCTAGTCGGAAAAAAAGAAAGAAAGAAAACGAAAACCCTTTTTCTTCCTCTTTATCAGCAATATTTTTAATTTAGAGAAAAGGAAAACTACTGCTGCAGTTCAACTTCCAAATCTCCCTCCCTTTTTCTTTTCTTCAACCCAGCGGATAACTACGCAACTATGTTCGTTACGTACCCAAAACCTATTTATTTTTTATTCTGTTCCTTGATTTGTGTTATTTATGAGAGAAATAAAGATATCAAAAAAAAAAAAAGAAAAAAGAGTACAAATTCCCACATATAAAATGCACAAACAGCTAGAAAAAACAGCCCTTAAGAAATATAATTAAAAAAAAAAACATACGCCTTTGGCAAATTATGTGGGAAGGATGGAAAGAATAGCAGACTCAAAACTCTCTTATCTTGCAAATAAAGAGTGTCAAGTAGGCGATTCGCTTACGTAAGTAACGACTTTGAGAAAAGCGAGGCAAGACACATGAAAGAAAAACTCCAAGGTCTTTTTTTTTTTTTTTACCTCTCTGTCTCACTCACTCATACACACACATACACAAAAACACTCCCAAATTCTTTTCTTTTATCCTTAACTCCCAATATGTATATATATAAAGGAATAGAGAGAGTGAAAGGAAAAAAAAGAAAAAGAAAGAGAGTATGTGCATTCCTCCTGAAAAACTCCCACACCTGTGTTTGTTCATTCTGATTATGCTACAAGTGAGTTGTTCATGAGTGGTTTCGGCGGTGGTGGTTTTCGTGGTCGCTCTGGCATAGGTGCTTTCCGTGCACTCTCATACTTTGGCGGGAAAGTGAGAAAGAGTGCCACACGCAGCGAGATGAAAACTGCCGACCAGAGAATAATAAAACGGAACCATGCCTGTACGAGTGCCTCATTTCCAGCAAGGGGATTACGACGGGGATCTCGCGCTGCAGCTGCGGCCTCCGCCTCATCTTCATCACCGAATGGATTTTTCTTCACCTTACCCGTGTGCATCTCCTCATAGAATTCATCGTAGCTAACCTTGCTCTTGTGTCGTCGTGTAGTGAAGCGGAAGTTACTGTATCTGTTGCCACTGTCAGAGCCATCACCACCGCCACCAGAACCACCATCAGCGTTCTTTTGAATCCACACACCACTCTTGATTTGTTCATAAGCTGCTTGAATTTCCTGAAACCTCTCATGAGAGCCACCAGGAGCATCTGGGTGATGTTTGCGCGCCAACACACGATAAGCCTTCTTGATTTCCTCCTTCGTCGCCCCCTGTTTAATGCCTAGCACCGTGTACGGATTGTTGTTACCGCTCGCAAAGCGCCCTTGTAAAAGTAAGGCGGCAGTGCCAAGTGTTGACCGCTGAGAGGCAGACGACACTAATGTACGGCGAACTCCACCCATAATCATACGGTGTTGACTATGCCACATTGTTTTTAATAAATAATTGTAATAATAGTAATAGTAATAAAAATATTTCTAGGGAAGCCGACTCTTTATCCTTACTGCGGCTTTTTTTTTTTCTCCCTTCGTCTTTATATTTCGTTACCTCAGTCTCCTTTTTTGTGTTTTCGTTTTGTTCTTTTTTTTTCCTTTTATCTCGTATTAACGATTTTTTTTTTTTTTTTTTTTACTGATGATTACTGTTCCACACACGCTCTCTTCCACACACACACACACACAGACACGCACTGAAGAAGAAGAGTACACGTGACTTCTTGAGCAAACGCAAAAAAGGAAAAAAAAGGAAGAAAAAGAAGGAGTGCAAAAAAAATATAATAATAATAATAATCCCGTTTTCTCATAAACAACAAAGAGCAATTTGTAACTGCATATGTATATAAATACATATTACAAGTACGTGGTTTGTTAGTATCCCTCATTTTTTTCATGTAGTTGATGTCTCTCTTCCAAAAAGAAATCGCAATTTGTATGAATGAAGCACATAACAAAAAAAAAAGTGGAAAGCAACTCTCAGCATCTGGCCTAACGGTTCAAAAAAAAAAAAAAAAAGAGGTAGTCAACCTTTCAATACTTCTTTTTGAAGAATCCCTTTTTACTCTTCCATACTTTTTTCTTTACCGTTGTACACCGAATGCTGTAGTGATATAATGACACTAATAATAGATATCTCAAGAGAAAAAAAAAAATGAACAAGACATATATACGTCTGAATAAAGGATTTTTTCTTTTCCATAAAAACCACTCATTCCAGTAAAAAGGTGGTTTTTTTTTTTTTTTTCCTTTGATTTTGCTTTCCAAATATTGTCGTTTGTACCTAAACTTTTACATTCAGATATAAACAAAAAGGTAGGCCATGTCAGATGCAGAAGTAATAAAAAAAGAACGAAAGAAAGAAAAAAAAAAATGTTTTTTTTTTTATAGAGAGAAGAAAGGGAGGGGGTATTGGTATCTATTGTACCTCATTCACACCCGTGACTTTCCACATTTTGAGCAAAACTTACTTTCAGGGGAACGGAATATGGTAGCACAGGCTGTACAGTATTGTGGGATGGGCGCCAAACAATCTATGCCGGCACCCATTCCAGGCAAAACGGACCCCGCCACTACGATATCATTCCTGTTTCCAGCACTATTGCTGTGATTACCAACACGGGTGGCGGTGGGCTTCCCGTCTGCTGTTATTGCTGGAATGGCCGGCGGGGCGGTGAGGACGCCACCCCCGCTGGGGTCGTCGAGCACCAACTCCCGCACGGACCACTCGAGGCCGCCCAGCGGGAAGTACGCCTCCCGCACCGGCCGGCCCTTTTCCAGCCGCTCCCGCTCCAACTCGAACACCGTCGCGTGGGCCTCCCCGTCGCAGTCGCACACCACACAGAGAAAGTGACTCGTGTACCCACAGCAACTGCACTCGCTGCAGGAGTGGGTCTTCGGGTCATGCTTTTTACTACCGTGCCCGCAGCGGCATTTGGGAGACCACTCCGATGGATTCCAATTACGACGCCGGGTTAGCCATCCCTCTCCAATCTCCTCGGGCTCGTTTGGGACGTATTCAAAACCAGCACAATTACACGACTGGCAGCGCGGCGCCGGTACACGACCTCGTGCAGGTTTAGGTGCTGCATGTTGCTCAAGTGTGTGTCCACAAAAACAGCGGTGTTGATATCCAATACGTGTACAGAAGTCTGTGTTTGAACCTGATAATTTTGGTCGCTCACATCGCCAGACTGCATAAACACCTGTTTTAAAAGCTAACATGGCCGCCTCATTCTCCTTGTTGAGAATTTTTTTGGACTGTGCAGATGGTCCAAAACGTCGTATACCTTGAAGCACCTGCTCTTCAGATGTTGCATTCTTTTGAAAATTTTTCTCAATCACTCCCTTTACCCGTGTGGACAAATCACGTATCTCACTGTGTACTTCGTTACTGTCTATCAGTGCTCCGTATTGCGGATTCACCTGCTGCCCAACAGCAAGTTCTCTGGAACTCCGAGATATTGGACGTATTCCTTGTTTACCACGTGGTACCAGCGCATTTCCACCACCACCACTACCACCACCACCAGCAGCAGCAGTAACAGTACTATCTCGGTCAGGTACCGAAGAACGCTTCATTGAAGAGTCCAATTAAACGTGTTGCACTTGTATGTTAAGTGTATATAGATATATGTATGTATGTATGTATATACGTATAGATATATAGATATATATATTATTCTTTTTGCTATGTATAGCAGTTCGTTTGTTTGCTTTTATTTACTGTTCACTCCAACACCGCAGCAAAGAATGTGGATGAAGTGAGGTTAAGCAACTGTATATTTAAAAAAGAATGAGGAGGAGGAGGAGGAGGAGGAGGAGGAGGAGGAGGAAAAAAGCAAAACAAGAAAAAGAATAGGGGAAATATTAGAACCAAAAAAAAGAGAGCAAAACAGAAGAAAAATCATCTCATTTAAAAAACAAAATCAAGTATACACTCACACGCAGAAAAAGGGAAATAGAAATACACTCACCCACACAAAACGAATATCAAGAAGAATACCAGTTTTTTTTTTTTTTAATTCCTCTGTGGAAAATGGTGAGAGAAGGAAGAAAAAAAATGTATTGAAACAATATTAGTTACTTCTTTCCATTCTTCTTAAACAGAAATATGAACGGAGAGTCCATTTGAAGAATGTCACAATGCTTCCTCAGCTAGAGTGGTTCGTGGAACCTCCATACACTTTGAGAGTGGTACATCCTTCATTAGTTGCCACGTCGCGGCACATGCACACAGCTTCGTAACAACATCGGCTTCTCTAATGTCGTGATATCCTTCAATAAGACCTTCTGTGTGGGTATTATGTCCTTCTTCAGCACGATTAATAGAGAGTGCGGTTGGGACATCGACAATGCCATTGAACATTGCGAGTGGAAGAAGTAGGCTACTTGTGAATTGAGCTGCCACACAAAGCGAAACAATTTGGTATGGATTCATAGACATGGCCAGTAGTGCATCTCGAACTTTGAGAGTTGCACCTGGTGGAATCTGTGGGTGACCAATACCTACGATACGCGGTACATTCACTTCAAATACACGTGCAAACCAATCTGCAATAGGACCAATAACACGATCCTGTTCATTAGCAATAGGTGCTGCACGGAAGTACATATTATCATTCTGATAAAAAGACATTAAATAATCCACACGTGGGGCTATCATCTGTGGAGCTACAGTGAGGGCTCCACTACACATATCCGTCATAGGCATTAAGAGTTTGTTTAAATATCCTGACTGCTCTGAATATTCTCGTGCACAGCAATATGCCATAGCTTCACTTGGAATTGCAAGAACATTTGTAGACTCAAATGCCTTTACCTTACGACCATCTACCAAGACGGTGTACCATCCATCGTGACCATCCAGTGGACTCACATTAACATCTTTCCAAAAAACACGCACAGCAGCGCGTGAACGATCTCGCATTGAGACATCCATTTGATATAATGAGTCTTCCATAAGTACACGACTCTCTTCTTCTTCTTGTTTTTCAAGTTTTTTGTACAATTCTTCTAATTCTTGTGGATTCATTTTTGACCACTCTTCAATTTTTCGCTCCAATTCAGCAGTTGAAAGTTCTGCATGGGCACCCGGATCTCGTGGAACTCGTTCAAGAAGTGCTGAAGCATCAATATTAGGCAAAATGCGACGTTTCGGTTTTTTAGGAGCAATATTAGGACCCACATTAGAACCTCCACTAACATTAGACCCAGAGGAAGTAGAGGAACAGCATCGTTTTCCGGTTAGTGAAAGAGAGAGTCCAATCCGAGATGATGAGGATAATGGTAAGGTCGTAAACTTACGCATAACTTAAACACAATGATAAAAGGAATAAATATATGTATATTTTATTCCTGTCTTATCGGTGAAATGACTGAATGTCAAAATGTACTCTTTGCTCTACTGGTGTTCGTACCGCATGTATGTATGTATGTATAAATGGAAAAGTAGGAAGAAGTGGTAGTGATAAGAAATAAATAATAAAAACATTATCCACAAAATTTATAAAAAAAAAAAAAGTAATTGAGCAACAACAAGAACAATGGACACAAATGGAAACTCTTATTCATTAGAACTCAAAGAGTTCAAGAAGGATACATGCACGCACACGTAATGAGAAAGGAACAAGGTGGGGAAAAAATAGATGCAAATGTACCCCACCCAACCCCACATACACACTCAGAGAAATCCTCAACACTGTAGAAAACTTCTTTTTTCGAAAAGGAAGAAAGAAGGAAAACAAAATAAGAAAAAAAAAAAAAGTAATATTCCTATAGGAGGTCATATTGCACATCGACGGGGAGTACTTTACGTGGTTCATCGCAAAAAAATTCCTCTAATTTCCACTCCTTAATAGCTTTAGGATCATTTACGGCATCAAAGTGGGCCGGAATAGAGAGTGGTCGTGGCAGTTGTTTCCGTTCTTTACCATAGTTAAAATCATACCAAGACATTTGTAGTGGTGTTTTTTGCTCGTGTGGTTTTATATTGCACTTTGCATGTTCTAGCAGCTGTAAAGATTCAAATGACCACCGTGAAATAACAGTTAGTCCAGAGGCAGGATCTATATGATGTGAGAAACTCTCAAGTACTACATCAGAGGAAGTGAGACAAATAACATTTGGTGCTTTAATTTCAAGACACATGGAAAGTGCATGACAAGTATCTACAAGAAATACAACCTTGTGATAGCGTCTCTGTTCCCACATCATCATTAATGTATCGGCAACATCTGTTGAGCTTAAAAACTCTGAGTCTTGAAATTTGAAAAATCCTTCGGCTGCATGCCCTGCGGCGTAAATTAAAATATAAGAATTTTCATCCGTATCTAGTCGGCGTGAAGGGGGTGTGTGTTCATCGTAACGACCTTGCAGGACTCCAAGAAAACGACGCACATCCACATCATATCCAGCATAATCCACCTGCACATTACAACTGTATAGATTTACACGATCTGGTCCTGAGAGGGCGCTGTAGATAGTGGCAGGATCAGGATTACGTGGATCACAGGCATAGCTGTCTCCAAGAAAAAGAATAATATGATCATCATCCATTCCATGTTTGCGGCACAAATGATACATTGTAAGCGCATTGGATGTATGACGCAGATTAAAAAAGTATCTGGAAGATGACAAGATAACAGCCCATGTGTTTCGTGATTCATTACCAGCGGCTTTAACTGTAATAGATGATGTTAACAAACATATGATAACACAACTGCATAAGCAGAAGAGAGTGCTAGAGTGTAGTGTCATTCGACAAAATTGGTTGTTTTTTTTTTTTTTCTTTCTTCTTCTAGGGTTTAACCGTCAGTGGCTGTGTTCGCCCCTATCCAATTAATATTATTATTTTTTTTTTTTTCGTTCTGGTAGATTTATTTGAATCTCTTGTATGTGCTTGTTCTCTAGGAAGAGTCCCAGATGCCAAGATCCTCTTCCTTCTTAATGTACAGAGAATACAAAGAATACAAAGAAAGCAAGAAATAATAATAATAATAATAATAATAATAACAATGAATAAAAATAATGAAAAGAAAAAGAACAGAAAAAAAAAAACAGAAAAGAAAGAACAGTGGAAGAAAAGAAAAAAAAAAAACATAGTATAAATAATGGTGCGCATCAAGGCTTTCTTGTTTTTTTTTTTTTTAATTCTTATTTGACAAAGCAAATGGGTTCCATTCCAATGCAAGAGAAGACCCACATACAAAAACATTATTAAACATATGTAGGTATATCCATACACAGAGGCAAAAAGAAAAAAAAAAAAACAGTCATTCCATCTCGTTTTTTTTTTTTTTTTAATGATTGGTCCTCATCTCTAGTGAAGCGATGAGAAAAATACAAAAACACGAGAGAATGACCACAGTTCACATCATAATTACGTTGGTTCACCTACAGAGAGTTTCTTTTGTTTTGTTGTTTTTTTTTTTTTTTTTGTGATTTGCTCCTTCTTCTTCTTCTTACTCCTTCTCTTCTTCTTCTCATGTAAGAAGTCTTTCACTGCTGTCAAGTTGCTGTAAACGTGGTGGCATTCGCATATGTGTAATGGGAATTTCAAACTCATTCGCACATCCAAGAAAAGACTGGGCTGAGCCGCACCCTCCCTTTACATCACTGCGGCGTGAAGGACCTACGGGTCCATTTTTCCAAATTAAATCAAATCCACCAACTCGTACTTCTTCACCTGTCCGTCGCTTCTCTAAATCAACAACATTAAACATATCCTCCAAAACGTTAAACTTAAGGTGATAGTCTGCAGGAGTTTCTGCAGAAAGTGAAGGAGAGGCATTCGTTTCAATGAGCCACGGGTGCAAATCATTGTCAATCATAATATCATAACCGTACAATTCAAAACTGTGTTTGTCTTGAACAATGATTTTTTGCACTGCATGAAGAGAACGCAGAATCATATTTTGAATATCATCAAAAAGTTTCTGTGCTGCTTCTACTCCTCTTGAAGCGGTTATATATTGTCTAAGGTTACGTAAACCGTACTTACAACCTGAAGAAGGTGTGTACTTTGGATTTGTCTTTTGTACAGCTACATTTGTGACATGAATAAAAGTATTTTCTATATCTTTTAGTGAAAATCGTTGGTGACAAAATCGTGCAAATCCGGTACGATGCAACCAAACGACAAGTGGACTATATCCTGTTACGAGCACATAAACACGCAAGTCATATTTCTTCCCACCCACGAGGTGTGGGTTATCTATATATCGTTGTGCCAAATAAGGTTCTACCTGCTCACTACCGTAAAGGTTGCTGCCGGACTTGTCCCCCACTGCCCCTCCCTGCCGCTGTTTGTAGTCCTTCCGCCACTCCGCGATCTGTGAGATCTTCGAGAAGAGAAAGATGCCTTTCCCCTGCGCCTTTGCCGGGGGCTTCATGATCCAAATGGCATTCGGCTGGCGGCGGAACTCCATCTCGAAGAGGCCGTAGTCCTGCGGGAGGGAGAAGGTGGCGGGGAAGAAGTCGAACTCCACCGCCTCCTCCACCCGCCCCTCACGCTCCAGCGTCTTGCGCATCCGCTTTAAGTTCTTCACCATCAAATCTTTCCGCGTCAACTCAAAGTGATTGCGGAAGTGATTGATCCGCTGCGTATCGTCCAGCCGCACGTGGTCGTACACCTCGCGGATCCACCCCACATCCGCCCAGAAGAAATCCCAGCCCAGATCACTGTCCGTCTCCAGCCAGCCACGACTCCGCATCACATCCAAGACAGTGTTGCGGAGAAACGTGCGAAAACGAATAGGGCCAACCCGCCCGCGTCGCTCCCCTGGTGGCATCGAGGGATGCGATGGCTGTGAGAACGAGAGCCCTACGATAAGGAACCCACCAGCCACTATTTCAGTAAATGAAAATAAAAGAAGAAAGGATACAAAAACGAAAAATAAATAATAAGAGAAAAAAAAAGATATCAAAGGAGAGAAAAAAAAAAAAAGAATGGAGATGAGGATAATTAGTTCAAAACAGATGCACAAAAAAAAAAGAAAATTAAGAAGAATAAATACAGAAAAAAAACACGTCAGTATTGGGCATAGATAATATTTTTTTTTTTTACTTTTTTTTTTTTTCTTCAATCTGTTTCTTTTTCATTTTTTTTTTTTTTGTGTGTGTGTGTCTGTGTGTGCTTCGGTTCTTCGTCTTCAAGAGTCAAAGGATTACAGTTTTTTTTTTTTAATATATTCATCTTCTTCTTTAATCAGAATAAACTGAAAGAATAGCCTAATCGTATTTCTTATGAAGGTATAATAATAACAACAATAATAATAATAATAACAAAGCATCAATTCACCCTTTAATATGGTTATTATCATCATCACCATGCGGATAAGGTGTGAACCTTTGAGCCTCTTCCAAATACGGCAACATAGGACATAAGTGCATCTGCCTTACCAGAGCGTAAAAGCGTAAAAATATGCCGCAGACGCACACGATGATAAGCGGAACAAAAGTCCAGTAAACCTTCCATTCTCGCACTGCAGACAGTGGGTGTCCACTGAAAACATTTTATTAGTACTTTAAAACAAAGTTCTGATTCTTTCGCTTCCATATGTGCACTTACAGCAATGTATATCACTACTTCCTGAAATATATCACCAATTACCTCATCACTCACAGAAAGATTAGTAGTCGCGCCAGATCTTTCCATACACATAAATGCAGTGTCAATCGCGGCTAGTATATATAAAAGAAATGCATAGTGTAAACACTTTGTCATATGAATCAATAATGGTTGCCACATCCCATGTGTATCTAAAAGTTTTCGTAACCGCATTTCAAGAATATCGGATGAAAGAAAAGCTTTCATAAGGGCATGAAAAATTCGTTCTCTGTACATATTTCGAGACATCAAGAGTTCCACTGAAGTTGACAAAAAGAGAGATACAAAGACCCTAAACACATCAAGAAAGTCCTCAGTGTACATCAACATAACACCTAAATTGCACCATCGAGAACCAATCAAATTATAAACTATATCTGCAACATCATATAAAACCATCTCATTTGCGTTATCCATGGCAAAAGTATCAATTAAATCTCTTTCCCATAAATCTGTTAGATTTACTGAATTTCCTACTCCAGTAACAGCTACAACACAAAATCCAACCAAATTCCATCTCATTTCACAATTATTATCTTCTCGTAAAAGAAGTGATGCCAAGTTGCAGAGTTTAGAACATAGTCGAAGTACCAAAGGTGCAGTAGAAGGAATAACTTTTAATAATTCCCTTACTTCATCACTTTCCTCAATTACAGCTTCTAGCATCCAGAAAAATCCTTCCGGTTGATGAATACCATCTGCTATAGCAAGAAGATCACGTAATTGTAGAATTGGATCAGAAAAGAGACGATCATGTTCTAAAGCACGGGCAATAATATATTGAAGAACATCCAATGTAGAAAATCCAGCATAATAACGAGATTCAACAAAGAATGTTAAAGCTGAAAGAAAACCAGAACGAGCTTTCCCTGCATCTGTAGTAAGTTCATCGCTTGATGCTCGTAATAACTCAATTTGTTCATCTTTAACCGCTAGCAAAATAGATGTCATTTTATCTGATGTTAAAAAGCACCCACGTACAACCTGTCCAAGCACTTTTCCAAGCAAATTATTCGCATCTGTTGCAAGACAAGGTTTATCGCTATGGTATAAATAAACATATCGCAGAAGGTTTATCATAATTTCATAAAAACCTCTACTCTCTCCAGACTGAGACTCATAAACACAACCACAAAAAAAGAAGAGAGCTCTTAACATTCCCAAATGAACTTTCTTCTCTCCTCCAGCTGGATAACTCTGTACAACACCACTGTTATTATTATTACTATTATTGTTATTATTATTATTATTATTATTATTATTATTACCATCACCAGAATTACCTCCATTTCCACCATTACCACCTTGACCACCACTATCAGCAATATCTGCCAGTGAGAGATCTTCCAGAAAGGCACTAGTCAATGCATCATCTGTTGAAAGTAGATTTTGTGCAAATTGGGCAATAACACCAATTAAATCATCACTAGAACGCCTTCTTTCATTAAGCATGGAAATTGCCACTATTGAAATAATGACAGAAAGTCTTGAGAGACACACATGCATAAGAAAAAGAGGCACATCCGAGACATTAAGTGCAGGAATGAGAGAGTCCACATCCACCGCAAGTGATAACATTATATCTCCTAATCCTGAAGTGTCACTTGATTCACGAGCCCGAATACAAGCATCATACTGTTTAATAGTATTTACCAGACGCTCTAGAATTGTAGGGTAAAGATCAAGACGCTCCCAGAATAACATCTCTGCAACTGGAAGGAGTGTCTTTTCATTATGTAGCATAACACCTACATCACTGCGCATTTCATTAGAATCTTCTGTGAGATGTGCCTTTGCTATAACAGTATCAAAATAGCAATGAGCCACTCGCAGTACTTCTGCTGTAATGGGGGATGCACGAATATCATCTCTTTCAGATCCTACCACACGAGGAATAACTCGATCACCAAAAAGAAAAAACATACGCATAAGTTCTTGTCGTAACTCTTCTTCATCATCTTGCCACCTATCTAGTACACCCCATGCCGCTTCTGCCCATCGACTAACAAGTTCCGGTCGATTGAATATATAGGATGTTACTACTCCTTCATCACGTTCAAATAAATTAATCAATAATGCACAACCTAATTGTAACATATAGGTAACTCCTGATGAAAGATAAACTTCGAGTAACTGTCCTGAAAGTTCAAGAAATAATGCACTTAATGTATTTCGTACTTGAAACCACTCTTGATCAACACATAAAAGGGTAGATCCCATACGTAAAAAACGTCCATAGTAAGTAGTTAATTCTGTCATAGGAAGTGCTAAAACAGCAGTAGCACACTCTTGCATTGCAAAAGGTAATGCAGGAAACCATACAGAAGCATCATCCAAATAAATACTATCATCTGTTGTAAGTCGAACAGTAATAATTGGTTCTACTATCATTACTTGAGCAGTTTCTAGAGCTGTACAACTTACTTCAAGTGCCATACGTCCATATTGAGCAATATTCATCACACCAAATTGAAAAAGATATGGAAGAATATCTCGTGCGCAAGCCGCACGTACATGCTCTAAAGAGCCCTTTGACTCTTGTTTGGAAAAGTACGTTAGTATCTCCAATACACATTCTAACACTTGATTTGTAGGAAGACGAGATGATAACTCATCTATAATACGTTTTCCAAGTCCTTTTGAATGATCCTCCATAGATATTACAGTTAGTCTCCAGTTAATGTACACTATAGAGACATAGATAGAGTATAACTCGTTTCGTACGTACGTTGGAAGCTCTTCACCACGTTCATTCATTAGTGTCAAATAATCCAAAACATAAACCTGCATCTCTCTACGTTCTTGTGGACCAAGTTCATTACTAACAATAAAGTGAATCGCTTTGCAGACAATAAAACGCAAGTAGTTATTCTCGCACATCGGAAGCAGTGTCTTCACAAATTCCCAGTAATCGTAGCAGCTCATAAAACGAAGTTTGCGAGACGCCTCTTCACGTGTGGCTTTATCCGGAGAAGTTAATACTGCTGTAGCGAGCTCTGTGAGCATCTCAATGCCCATCTCCTCCATAGTGTCTAAATTTTCTTTTTTTTTTT